GTTATTTCTGTTGCACGTTCTTGTCTATACATATAATTCCGTGGCCACCGTTTTATTTATAAAAAGAAGAATGGACAATCAATTTCAAATCTACAATATATATTCAAAATCTATTTTTACTAATGTTATAGGTTGTATTGAAATTTTTTTGATATTGTTCATGAATAGAATGTATTTTCTCGAAAAGTGGTTGAAAAAAATTTAAATCCGTTGTTGATTCTTTATTATTCTGTGTTTGTTCATTATTAATAATTACTTCTAATGATGTTTTTACTGATGCTATAACAAGTAAAAAATCTTGTAAAAGACTATAGATATCACCATGTTGTAATTGATTTTCATTTAATAATTGACGTTCACTTCCATTTATAAAAAAGTCATATGCATAACTATTTAAATAAATTTTATCATAATCAACAATATCCATAAATGGAATAATTCGATTTGATAAATCAATATTATATGCAAGATCATAGGATGTAGAATTATAATTATTCATAAATATTTCATCAGTTAAACCAGACAGACCAGAAAATGGTGAAATAGATGTAGACGATGGTTGTTGAGTATAATGATGTTTTAATTTGTATTCAAATGTACCGTTATCATAATTAGCTGTCTATAACACAGAAAATAAATCAGATGTTACATTGTGAGATGAGAGTTACATTATTGTATAAACACTTTTTATATAGGTTTTCAGATATACTCTTTCCAATGGTGCACTTTATAAAGTTCCAAAATACTTATATGTGGGTTTTCTAGAGATCCGGTCTCTGGAGAGCCCAGATTAAAATCTCTTTGAACTTTGTAAAACACACCATTGAAAAGAGTATATCTGAAAACCTGTATAAAAAGTGTTTATAGACTTTCGGACTGCTTCTATAGGATATGTCCGCCTGGGCTAAGGAATAATGCACATTATGCCATGAGGTCTACATGTATATATTTAAGGTGGCATAATGTGCATTTTTCCATAGACGAGGCGGACATTTGCTTCCCATTTGCAGTCGCGTGATGTGCATTACGCAATTTTTAGTTAATTTTCATTTTGGGTGAAAATCTCGGTAATCTTTCAATGTGAAAATTCGAAAAAAATGAAAGTAGTCGGATAAGACAGAAATACAAATCACGACTCCGTTTTTGATCCTGATTCTGAATATGGTACTTGTATCACTCAGAAGTTGAGTTCTGATCGAGAAAATTGAGAAATACGGGCATAATTCCGAGTTTTTCGCCTCTGATTTAGAAAAAATGAATTTTCTCAGCAGCAAGGAAAACAAAATGGAAAAATCTAAACATATAACTTTGTAGCGCGTGAGATGGCGAATCTTTTGCGGTATGATACGAGGGGTTACCTTTCAACCCTTGAGACTACATAGGTTTGGAAACGAGATCTTGCGTTTTCGATAGGTGTCTCTTTGACCATTAATGAAGATCAAGAAACCAGGTCTAGGAAAATGAAAACACCCCCTTCCAACTCAGCGTGTTGCGCTGATTTCAACTATCTGGTTGAAAGTTTTGTAGCTAAAAAAATAAGCTGAGGAAATGACTTTTTCCAAAGCCAGGCAAAATTGCAATTTTTGACATGTTCGCAGTATTTTAATTTTTTCTACTTGTAAAAGGGGTCGAGTCCTCATAAAAAGGTGATATTCGTAATCAGCACGTTCTGCCGAAACAGAATATGTATGAAAAAGTCAAAAAAAAAGTTCACTCGAATTTTGAATTATTTGTATCTTACATGAATAGACGTCGCCACTATGTTTGGTACTCTAGTTTGTACCTCACACTGCATCGCATTTGTAGAATATCCCTGAGTCGCTTTTATGTAGCAAATTAGGTCGCGTTGGATAGGTACCACAGAGATGCGTTTTTGCGACTTCCGAACTTCTTGCGTTTGTATGTGACACAATATCGCGTTAGTACGGTACCATTAGGTCAAATGCTACGTGACACTACATCACGTATGTGCGTATCAAAACGTCGCGTTTGCAAAGTTTCGCACGTCTCAATAGTAGGCACTTGACAGATGTGAGATATCACACGTTGACTTGTCTACAAAACTTACACTGCTTCATTTGTATTCCGTATAAATTCGTATACACTAGAGTAGTTTTTTTAGAGTAAGATTATCGTAGAAAGTTTTGTTAGCGTCCAAGTTTACGGTGAGTAAGTCCACTCACGTTAGGGAGTAAGCTTGTTTCGATCATTCCTCATTATCCGGAGTAAGTATTCTACCATTCTCCAATCTAGAATGCTAACCAAACACTGTCAATAGCTGCTAAAGCGCAGCATTCGTAAAACAAAAGACAAAATTCTTAGATCTTTTTCAGAAATTCGGATTGTCGTCAAAAATCAAATTTTGAAAGACGATAAAATGAAATTCGTACACAAACTGCAAATGTGAAACTGCAATGACCTTTTGTAAACTAAATTTTGAGAACTATTGTACAACAAATTACCTTATAAAATGAGATATTTGATAATGGCAGCATACATTCTTGATTGATTAATTTTTCACGAAGTTTATTAATTACATCCTGAATATAATAAATATAAATATTTTTTACAATTTGATTATATTCATTAACCATTTGACGAAATTCTTTAGACATTGATGGTAAAAATAATTTTGAATTATATTTTTTTTCTTTTCTTTTTAATAATAACTGTTGACGTTGTTCATCTGTTAAATGCCATGGTAGTTTTGTAAACATATATGCTAAAATAATAACAATATCACCTAACGATTTTGTTGAATGAAATAATTCTTGATTTATTATATAACTAAATAAAATATTTCCTGGTTCATAAAAATAAAGATGTGTTAGTAAACCGGCTAAACCCACTAGATCACCTTTAATATTTACTAAATTAATACGATGTAAAAATTGTAATGAATATAGAAAATGATAATGTGTTTGAATATCACATAAAATTTGTTTTTCCATTGAAAATGTTGACATAAATGAACATTCTAATACAATTAATGAACGATTACATGAATCACGTTTGGCAGTACAACAATCATTTTTCTTTTGATTATCATCATCTTTTGACATTGAATATAAATGTAATAGACGCATTAAAAATGTAATTGATGTTGGAAAATGTGCTGTTATATTTGGTATTTTACTAATAGTTAAATGACGAATTTTTGGTATTGGTATATCAATGAAAACAACATGTCCTAATGAAAAAATACACAATCAAACGGTGTCTCGGGTGTTTAAGATAGCATCTATAAAGAAAGCTCGTCATTTTTGGATCACCACCGTGTCCACTTTTGTCTGACTACCCAACACACCTGCACGTCCAGTTTGAAAAGCACTTTTCTAATTTTAGAAGAAACTTTAGTTCCTCGTCTCTTTTCTTCGAATCACAGTCGGTATATAGCGGACATTTAGCAAAAAATCGAAAGTGTTCTTTTTTTTATTTGAATAGCGTCAAATATAGTTTGTTCAACGTGCTACCTAATAGAGCAAAAAGTTTTGTTCCACGCGGCCTCTTTCTTAGAAAAGTACGGGAAGGAAAAACGACATATATTTCAACATCCTTCTAGAAAACCCAATTTTCTCGTTCCAATGAATCGATACAAATTCGTCATTTCAATATATTCTTGAGCAAGAAGGAACTTGGTAAAAACTAACAATTTTCAGAGTAAATGGCATTTCTGAACCACTACTTCGGTTAAAGTTCATTTCGTAACTTTTCCTAAACTTCAACTAGACTCAAATTTATACGAAAATGTGCTGTATCTATAGTGCATGTACAACTTTTCTCACGCAGAGTTATCGGTTTTGCTGAAAACCCCAGTTTTTGAGGTAAAATCTACTTTTCTGAGCCCAGGAACACTTTTATTCAAAAATAATGAGATATTTGGAATCAGCGCGTAAAAGTGCATCGAATGATGTATAAGTTGTTAGTTTTACAAATAAAATATTTTGACGACAATTCTGAGCAAGGATCCTCCTAAAGGGATTTTTTATCGAATAATAGTTTTTTTTGAATTCGACTTTTTTATCTCTGTTAATATTTGACACATAATAAGACTATATTATGCAAAGCAGATGTGCGCTTGCTCTACGAAAAAATATTCACTGTATGAATCCCATTTAGTTTGAGCATTACCAGACAACTTTGTGGCTAGACGCAAAATTCAATTTCCATTTTATAGAAGCAGTCACATTAATCTTAAAGAATATTGAAAAGTAGACGCAACTTTTGTTTTACTATTTAAATCATGACGCATATGTATAATCATAATAACGTACAATCTTCAGCACAAGAACCCAAGGCAACGAAATACAGCAGCACTGTTTCATTTGAACTCACACAGCATAAGTTAGATATCGGTGGAAGAAAGCTCAATTTATTTGCGCCTGTTCTACAAAACCAGTGATACAGAATCTTACGCGTGCCCTAACGTGCGGTAGTTGAAACTTTTTAAATTTGTCAAGATTCTGCACAACTGACAGTTATCTTCGAGGCTGGAACAGAATAAACTTCTTTAAAATTGTCTTTCGAGGTTTCTCCTAATGCGACGAGAGTCTTGACATCATGCAAACATAAATTTCATGAAATATTGAGAAAATTTAAAATTTGACTTGGCGTACAGTTTCACCGCTTTATCGCGTTTCTCCTAGTTTTGACCAGACCCTTCCACCATATGATCGCATGCCGCAACTTTCTATTCTACAAAAATTTTTACTAATTATTAGAAAAATGCTAATTCAGTTGTATTTTCGTGAGAAAAAACTTAGTATTTTGTTCTGGTTTGATTTTCCTTACACAAACTAATCCATCTGAATGAAATCAAGAGCTAGTGACTTACTCATGATTAGAAAGAATCATGAAAATGATTATATTTAAAAATAAATCTGGGTTTTGGTTTACTTTAAAAATATATCAACTACTAACCTTGAACATCGAAACCTCTTCGTCCACTTCTGCCTGATGCTTGCCTATAAGCTAATGCATCCAAATAAATTGAGTCCATGGCAAATGCAACGGTTTTTGTTGGCATATGGATACCTAAAGCCAATGTTGATGTTGAAAATACAACTTGTATATAACGATTTCTAAATAATGCTTCAACAGCTACACGTCCTTTATTATTTATACCAGCGTGATGATAAGCAATACCACGTTTCATAAACCTTAAAGAAAAAGCTTTCTAAAAATAATCTTAAAACAGTAGCGTCTGTGATGAAAATGCATCTATTTGTATAGTGAGTCGATGGACCTAATATTGCATTATCGTTGGGTTACGGTAGAATTCGTCGTTAGAATCGAAGGGCCGACACACCTTTATTTTACGAACCCAGCTAAAACTAGCATTTCATTTAGTTAATGGTAAAATTTAATTCTGCTCAAACAATTTTAGGTAAACTTAGCATTTCACTTTTAACTAACGATTTTTCAGACAAATTTGAAATTTATCTAGGTAAAACTAAAACTTTAATTTTTCCAAAAGATTTGTTGTCAGATAAAATTAGAACTTTAGTTTCTCCTCGGAAAACTTGAAATTTGACTGAATCTTCATTTTATCTGTAACATTACCTAACCAATTGTGGATTGTCTTGTGATGCACGTTCCCTCAATCGATTAGCTAATTCAGTATCTGAAGTTTGTAAATTTGTCAATGTACATTCCGGTAAAATATCATAGAACAATGCACGTTCTATACTACTCAATTCATTTTTTGATTCATCATCACCACCATCATTTATTATTTGTTCAGAGCTATCACTGCCCTTTCTACTTTTTCCAGCGGCTGCTGTTGCTAATTTTGTTATTCGTTTCTTATTTTTATTGATTTCATCTAAACGTCGTTCAATTTGTTCAATTTGTAATTTATATTTTATTTTTCTTAAACGTTGTTCTTCTTTTTCAAAATATCTTGTTAAACTTAATGCATTACTTTCGCATAATTGACGTGAATCAGAAAATACTAAACATGGTAATAGATTACGTTCACGTAATGTTAAAATAAATTCAACAATTAATGATGACATTTGTTTTGGTTCGGGATATTGAATTGACATTGAAGTCAATGACGAATTTTCTTGATTTATATTATTTATAACAGAATCAATTAATTTTATTTCTTTATCTTTAATCATCGTTGTAAATTGTTCACGTACTAGACGACTATAATCATTACATTTTGATCTTTCTATTATCCAATCATTCGTAAAATAATTTGATAATGATGGAACACAAATTTTTGATTCTGTTGTTGTCGTCGATTGTTCATTGTATCTAGAAAACATAAATGTATACTTACATAGAATCATCTAGTATTTCTAGTATTCGTTTAGATGAACATCCATTCTGCAAAGACTAAGAACTAACTCTGCCACACAGAGCAATGAGTCTCTACTTTTTTGCTAATACTCCTTCTAACTAGTGCATACGACTTTTTTGTAACGAGGAGTGTACAGCCGATTATTCGGCTTGTCTACGTCGCTCTGCTACTGTAAGTGTCATGCCACTACTTTATTGAAAAATGCTTCGAATTTTTTAATACAAAGACGCAGAAACACTTTGAAGTTCTATAAAATTGAGTCTAGGCAAATTCTTGAAATGTTTTCTATTGGCCGATCATGTCCGCTAAAAAAATGAAATTGAACAGTGTACCCTTATTTTCTGAGTCGCATTTAAAAGAGAATAATTTAAAGAATTTGCATAGACCCAGTTTTAACGGGTTCTCGTTATCTTTTAAGGGCTCATTCATTGTTCATTAGCATACTCTGCATCTGTCGTAGACTTACAAAATCTCACAACTTTATCTATATATAGTTATGGATTTTCCAAAATGTTTTAGGTATTTTACAATTTATTCGGTCCGGAATCACTTCTGTTAAAAAATAAGGTGATATTCTGGATCAGCGTGAAAAACTGCATCGAATGATATATAGTTTGTTAGTTTTAGAAAAAAAACATTTTCTGACAAAAATTCAGGGCTAGGACCCGGCCCCCTAAGAAATTTTTTGTCGAAAAATTCTTTTCTCGAATTCGACCTCTTTTACTTCTACTAATATCTGACACATAGTAAGACCATATTATGCTAAAATAATCATTTTTAACTCAAAAAAACAGATGTCCGCCTACTCTATGAAAAAATGCCCACTGTGTGGCATGGTAAATTAAAAAAATGGACAAATATGAACATAGGAAGAACTTACTTTCCTTCCAAATTGATACCGTCATCAATGGTTACTGTTCTCCGTATTGCATCATGTAATTGCAATGTTTCATTTGGCGATAGAATCAAGTCAATAGGTAAATTTCCTCTTTCAATTAATTGTCTACTATTCATTAAACCAATTGGATGAACTGGATGTAATTGTTTTTTAGAATATAAATATTTATTTAAATCAGCTAAACGTTCATTATATGTTATATAACAAACTTCACGCATTGTTGACCTTTTATATAATTCTACACGTTTCTTTTCAGCCGATGTCCACCAACGGTGAAGATCTCGACCATTATTAACTGTTGCTGATAATCCAATCATTGGTGAGTTAATCATTAACATACATTTCTCCCATACATCAGCACCTAGTTCACCACTCATACAATGTATTTCATCAAAAATAACATATTGAATTCGATTACGCCATTGTTGATGATTTGGTGATAATAATAAAATTTCTAAACATTGTGGTACTGTAACTAAAATTCGACATTGATCAATATTAAGACGATAATCACGTGTAAATAACCCGAAACAAGGACTATTAAAACGACTATAAATTGTTGCAGCAACTTGATTAACTAATGCTTTTGTTGGTGCAACATAAACACACACACTGTTAGTTGATTGTTTTAATACAGACTCCATTGCATAATAGGATGCATACGTCTTACCTAAAAGAGAACAATGAAAGGAAGAAATTACACAGCTGCAAAGTGTGAATAACAAAGGTTTTATTTTCCACATCTTCCAAGCGTATACTCAAAAACTAAAACAATGTATTTCATAGTATGAGTCTTTACAAACCAAAGGTGCACAGCAGACACTTTTTTCCGTCCTGTCCTATGCGGCAAGACAGGACAGAACAGCACAAGAGATGAAAAGGTTTTCTTTTCAAAAGGAAGAGATCGCCATCGATGAGGACGATCCAAGCAAATCGACCGAAAGCGGCTATGACAGTTTTATGTCACTAAACCTAGAAGATTTATCCGCACACGTCATAACATATTCCCTAACTTACAAGAAAACCAAGTATCGTTAGATGAGACAACTTTAATTTTTAAGTTTTTTGTACCAACTCAGCTTTCCGATTGAAAATGGGACTATTGATTGACGCACAGTTATGGACACTATAGAAAGGAATGTGAGGGGCTAGCTATATTGAAAACCGAAGCTTTCACCCACTACGAATTTATTGTTACTGAATCGCCTGGCAAGACGACCGCAGAGGACAAAAAAGTGCCTTGTGACAACCTCCCTTACAAACACATCTCTGCAAACAAATGAATATTTCATTAGAACTTACCAGATGCTGTTGGTGCCAAAATAATTATTGATTGTTTCTTATCAACTGCATCGAGAAACTCAACTTGCCATTTATCTGGTATGAAATCCGGTACTCGATCATCTTTTTTACTATTTTCATATCTTGGTAAATAACTATTAATTGTTTCCATTTGAAAACGATACCATTTTTCAATAAAATTCGGTGTAAGATTAATATCATCGTGTACTAACAATAATAATTCTTTCATATCTTTTTCTTTTCTTTAAATGGATTAGTAATCTTTTCTAAATCTGTAATTGATGTTAATGTAGCAAAATATTCAATTCGTAACTGCTCTAATATATTCTTATTCTTATTATCTGTTGTTGTTAATAATAATTGTAAATATTTACGTTGATATTTCATTTTTAATGTTAATAATTTTAAACGATTTGTTGATGTTTGAATACATGATGATCTTGATTGTAAATTACTATCTAGTATTTTAATTAAATCAAAATAATTATTTTTTGGTATTGTTTTTAACATATTTGTAATTCTTAACATTTGTTCATCTTCCTCTTGAATTTTTATATCCGCTTGACGTTTAATATTGTCTTAAAAATAGAAATTTCAAACTTTTGATTTCAAACTAAACTGGTCCTTCGCATTACATTACCTTCTACAATTTTTTGAGCTTTTGTTGAATATTTAGCTTTCTTTTCCTGTTTTTGTTTTTCCGTAGAATCGACCGTTGATGATGATGGTAATACAATTTGTAATTGATTATCTTTAATATCTTTTGTAGTTAGAGAATTTCCATAAAGAGTAAAGTATTTATAAAAGTTTTGATCCCTTGTTGTTGCAAATCGAGGATTTTTGGCTTTGTATGCGTTATTGTCTCGTATACGATCAATTTCAGTTCCACATTCTTTCATCTGATGCCAATGATGTTTACCTAGGAAAACGAGAAGAGACCACCTTTAGATTTGCATCGAAACAGTAACACAGAAGACAACAACTTTGGAAAGACTGATTCTCACAAACTCCTGAACTTCTTGGCCGTGGTGGCACGACTGCATGGAGAGAGGATGGGTGCCCCCCCCCTCCTGATAGTCTTTGAAAATTTTTGCTGAATTTACTCTGAATTTGGACCAAGGGGGAAACAGCAGACTCCGTCGGACTCCAATCGTATGGAGTCTCGTGGAGTCACATGGAGTCACGTGGAATCAGTTGAGGCGGTCGAGTCTCAAGAAATGTATCTTAATTTCTTTAGAAGAATCGTTTTTCTCAGTGGTCTTGCATCAAATAGTAAGACTTTTGTTGATTTGAATCATTCGTAAGTAGAAATTAACTTTTTTGGTTGTTGTTCACAGTCGTTTCCAACATCAATTCTGAGGCTATGTGACGGTCAACCAACAGTTTACATGAAGGACCGAAAAAATATATCTGGAAATGCAAAATTAGTTCTTTTATTCTTTTTTACTCATATCCATCACTCTTGATAGTCTTTCACTTGATAAACGATTTTGTTTCTCTGTTAACATCCAACAAGCAGTCTGTTTATGTATATATTTTACAATATAGTTTATGATAACTTGCAAATAGGAATCTTTTAAATTTGTATTAATTGAATTCCTAATTCTTATTCCATTAAATGCTGTTTCATGATGATGGTGATGAGAATAATAGAATTACAACGCATCTCGGAGTCAAGTGCAGCCAAACGGAGTCCGGAGTCTGCTGTTTCACCGTTGATTTGGATCCTACTGCCCTCCAGCTCTAACCTCTTCGCGTCACCACTGCTTTATGGGTCACTTAATAAATTTGATTTTGCACTAGGACAATCATTTCAGATTGCAGACATTCTAAGCGTTGACTCCCATAATTCTTAGCCTTTTAATGTTACAACGGAAGTATTTTAAATCTCTGGAAACAAATTTCAAATCACAAACGAAGAGTTGGATTGAAATTAAAATCAACTAATTCTCTGCTTCAAAGACACTCTTACCTTCATATTGTGTATGTGATGAATTAGGAGTGTCCATAAAATCGATGTTTGCATCTGTTGCTGATAAAATCGGTTTTAAATACTCATCAATAAACGGATTCGATATTTTTGACAGTTTTCTTTTGCTATTTCTCAAATTTATTATGGTTGATAATGACGATGCTTCTGATGAACACTTTATATCTCCAGATAAGATCAATTGTTTTAGGTTTTCATTTAATAGCTTTTCAAGTGGTGGTGTAGCAGTTGTTGTCTCAGATTCATCAATTAAGTGCAAACTTTGTCGAAAGATATTCGATGTTTCACAGTCAATAGAAAAATGACTGTTGTTAGAATTGATTGAATGAACTGTAAATGCAAATAGACGACCATCGAACATATCAGATATTTTGTTAAATGATAAAGTTGTAAGTGATGACAAACGTAGATTAGATACAACTGTTGCGAGAAGTTTTTGAAATGAGCTGAGTAATTTTGATACAGTGGAACTAAATATTACTGTTGGAAATGATATTAAATGACGATCAACGATTGATAAACGAAGAAGTAAAGAAATATGAAGACAGAAAAATGGTATTAATCGTTTTAATAACACGAATTGTTGGTGATCTTCATTCTAAATAAAAGCGAAGCGAGTGATTTTGTGACAAATTTTGTCGAGAACAGTTTTGGGAAAGTCATAGTTTTAAGAATTTTTGGACTGGAAACAAGTAATAAACAAAATATCCTTATCGTTTTCAGAATTTGAGACACTTAGACAAACTTTTTGAATAACTTATATAAACCTAAGTTGACATGCAAATGTTGAGAACTGAAATGCGAAGGCTGTTAGGCGTTTCACTATATCTGAAATGATCATGTAATTTCTCCTGTGTGAAACATTATTGGGTGAATCCATGGGTATCCAACCACTTTTTTGGAAAAAGTTTTTTTATCGACTTTTTTCGTTCTAGTTAGCTGGGGCGTGGTCATAAAACAGCTTTGGCCGAAAAAAATTGCTGACTTTCACCTTAAATGAGGGAGATCTGGAGCTGTTTCTAGGAACATCTAATGAGGGTCATCCAAGTTATTTCAAGATTTTGGGCTCATATTTTGCCC